ACTGTAGCTTGATACACACGTCCCTTCAGATTCAGGGATAAACCATTCTGACGCCATAGGTGTCTCAAGTTAGCAAACGCGGCCCGAGCCTTGCAGATTCGTGCATTCACCTCATCTGTCACACTACAGTCAGAACTAACACATCTTCCAAGATACGTAAAACGCTCCACAACTTCCAGTGTCTCTCCCTGGATCGTAAGTGGCGTGTTCAGTGACTGCACGTCTACAAGCATAACCTTGCACTTTGTGGGTGCAAAGTGCATACCAAAGGACGGGATGACTTTGGTCAGTTCATCCAAGAATACTTGCGCCTTTTCCTCCTCTTCGAACATGAGAACGATGTCGTCTGCGTATTCCAGATCGATAACGTTTTCTCCACAGGCTATTTGAACACCAGGGTTTTGGAGACCCTCCAGCGTTCGTGCGGACATTTAAAGCAACTAAGTGGACCGGCTCTTTCGTTTTGAAGCCAATCAAGTCGCCAGCTGCTCCTCAGAAGTTTTGAATTCAATCTAGACAGATGACCAAGTGAAGAGGAAAATCACGTCTTTAAATAAAGGAATCACCCGGTCGTAACCTTTCCCCTGTCTTGTTTGATAATAGGGGAGCAGTTCAGCGGTTGTTCACAGTTTGTCAGTAGTGTCGTGCCTACCGGGTTGTTATGAATTCATCAGCACTGGAAGGTGCCACGAAGTGAGAATGCACGCCTCGCAGAATATGACAGTGGATCTTGGCCACGTCTCCAAGTTTAAGACATCAGGCACCCACCCTTTCAACGGCAGTCGACAACCGTACCAAACGACCCCCATGGCTGGTGAATCCATCCCCCAATTAAACGCAAATCCGACCATCGTTCGCTCAGTTTTATCTCCCTCTTGATCCAACATTGTTACTACATTGTCTGGTCACCCGGATTATCATACCTATGTGAACGTTCCACGACCTTTAAGCCAACATAAACCTCTTGACTGTGATACTCATGGTGTTTTATTCGTCACAAAGTCTGGTGGTTATGTGCTTATCGAATTTTTTGCCCTGTTTCCTTGCAGTAGCAGAAGTTTAATAACAAGGATTCTCATCTCCGTCGCTCTCACATATAGCCATGACTGAAGAGCAGATGCGCACACTAATAGTCCCCTTCAGCAGGCGCACGCCAATACGTAGTGTTTGGCCGTCGATAGTCGAGGTATTACAACATTTTCTGTTTGACCAGCCAAATTAAATCCTCCCTCAAGGTTTTGACAAAACAATTGAAGCTGATGGTCTGTCTGTCCACCCGTTCCAAGGCATGGAAGGTGTTTATCAAGCCGTCCCCGGAAACAAAGGATCCCCTGTACCTCCAGAAGGGATACGACTTTGTGAACGCTTTCCTCAAAGGTTTCAAGTATGAAGATGCTTTGGCTGTCGTACGAATAGATGGCATTTACGTCGAAAGTTTCCATATAATGGACGTCAAGCAGACATTGAAGGTGAGGCCTCCCCTAAACCGCTCGACTGATCGTGAATGTTCGGCTTTTTCATCCCAACTAGTCATCATCATAAAGACCTGAAGGGTATCATTCTACGCTCTCATTTATTTGCGCTCACTAGCATCATAAATCTCCTCGCTGTTCAACCATATGAGTTTTGAAATGAATGAATACGCCAAAATATTTTGCTTAAGAATCATTCGAAATGTCACGTGCCCGATTATTCCAACCCTAAGTGTCTGGATCTTTCCATCCAAGTGGATTAGTTGGTCTAGATTCGGAAAAAAATACCGTCGTATTGATGAGGAAGGCCATTAGTTTTCCGAGTGGGACCAAAAAACGTTGATGACTTCAAGTCTGCTATTCCCCGACAGGAAAGTCAAATCAGGGAATACATTCATCACCCAGCATATCATTTGAATCCCATTTGGCTGTAGCAAGTCGAGATGTGACGCCAAGTTTTGTCTATTTTTGAAATTCTGGTTGGTATTAGTGATCCTGACTGATCGGTGTAAGTACCCAACCGGTGACTGATGGTGACAGTTTGATCCAAGTGGAATTCAAAAATGCACGGTTTAATTACTTGTCCAAGTATCAGTGCGGTAAATCTTTAGCTAGGTATTCAATTTCGTAGCTATCAGTTCAGTGGATCAACATGGAAATAATGCGGAACGCCAACCTTCAAACCGGAAATCTTTCACGCGTCATTGCCAAGTTATTAAACAACTGTACTATTTGGGGCTTTTTTGTATACGCGTAATGCAGTACTGATTAGGTTGCTGGGAATTATTTGACTTCCCACTGCCGGTTTATCGTTCTTCTTGGGGCTCACCGGGTAGGCGCAGATATTTACGGCCACCTTTGTGTTGAAGGCCGGGCTTCTGGATTGGGGTAGCAGGTGGCCAGCTGAATTGCTGTGCGAAGTACTGTGCCCAAGCGTCCAAACGTTCTGCTTTGCTGTATATCAGGGAGCCATTTTGGTCCCTGATTGTTTCACTGACAAGAGGTTTCCGAGGACCAGTCGAGCGAATCAAGTGGAACAATTTGCGCACGTTTCCAGCATTCTTTGCATCTTCCATTTCTTCGACCTTTCGGGTCCACCAAGCTTCTCGGTCTGCGCGGACACTCAGTTTCACCTGGCGTCGGATAATGCGCCGGATGGAGTTGTGGTGGCGACCACGTGGGATCTGTCGCCGGGCCTCCAGAAAAGACACGGTTCTATCAGAGATCCAATGCTTGGATGAGGTTGGCTGGTTTGTACCGCAAGCAGACGCTGCTGCTTTGAGTAACGCGTTGGATATTTTTTCCCAGTGGCCGTTTATATCCGACACCGTACCGTCCGGCAGGCATTTGAGGAGCTG